TGAGGATTCAAACTATAGATATTTTTCAGATAAAAACGAATATTGTCGAAGGCTCTATAGGCCAATAACAAAACAAAATAATAATCACTGCATACACTATCCCCAGGTAACTTAGTTTCTTTATACTATTGACGATCATAGAATTTCGAAATCTATGGATTCGTCATTTCATAGATGATGAAATAATCTTTATCTTTCAGCCAAAGTGTCTGGTTGAACTATTTCGTTATTCGGCCATTTTCTAGCATAACCTAGCATAGTCCTCAACAGACTAAAGGTCTTTTTCCAAATGATTTGTTTATGCTATTTCAGGATCAATTCACGACGTTTGTCATTGCGAACAATGTCAAGGTCTCTATATGGATCTATATCATAGATCCTTTGATACAATGACCAAGAGCAAGCGTCAGGTTTGGATTAAGAGTGATCAAGGTTCACTCTTTGTAACACACTATAGAAGTGGAAAATATTGGATACTATATGTTAATTTGGGGGTATAAGAAATTACAGGGGTATTCTTGATCTTTACAATTATATTTTTTCCTGTTGAGCGGCCTTAAAAGTTTGAAGGAGCACATTGATAACATAAATTGCGTCAAAACTTTTCTGTGCAAATTTGACTTTGGAAAGCACTATACTTTTTAATCACCGATATTTAGTTATCCCCATAGTTATGATAAGTTCAGACTGTATGTTCTTTGTAGAAGTGACATCATTCATAACATTTGCATTTTATGAAATACCGAGTCAATTGCCGAGCAAATTTCAAAAGAGTCTTAAATGCATCGAATCAAACAAGCAAACTTATCCTTGAATTTTGATTAGTGCCTAACTGCTAATACGACAGTTTCACTAATCTCATTATGTCCCCATATTTAATACACAAAAGTGTTGGTGTAATGCATGAGAAGTAAAACAAGTTCCCTCTGCATACAACATTTCAAAAAATTGAAAGGGTAGCTATAGAGAATGATTCTTATATGGACAATTAACTGTGTCTTCACCGAATGAGGGACTTGGGCTTATGGTTAATGTCAGATCTTTAAATAATTGCATATAATGGACATTTAGAGTTCTTGAGCCCAATGGTGACCTATAGTTGTTAACATCATCGTCCTTTGGTATTTTGGTGGATTGTTGTCACGTTTGCAATGATACGTGTACCATATCTCCTTATTTTTATATGACAACTAGAAATAATGGTGTAAACTTTTATATTTTTACAGTTTGATATAGTGTATTGATTCTTGAAATTACTTCTCTTGCGTACACCACTTCATTTTCTTTCTTTCCTTCATTTGTAAACCCAAATCGTTCTGCAGAAAACAAGAATTACTTGGCCTCTTCATACATTATTTCTACCAAGCAATCTAAGCTTAAAACATTTACACAACACGATGCATGCTCCGTAGTTGTCTTGATGTTTGTGCTATTTTTGTATTTTGCTGTGACATTGTCGGTCAGTTTATGAAAATATTTGTTAAATTTTATTTGGATATAGTGTTCTGAAAGGACAATTTCATAATACAATGGAATACGGATCATCTAAATACCAATGTATTGCATACGCCATATGAAGGTTATCCCAGTGTATGGATTGATAATCAAGAAGAGGAGTGAGATTTGTGACGACTCAGAATTCCAGAATTTTCAACTGTTCGCAAGATTCCGATTTCAAAAGTTCAAACAAAATACTTAAGCCAATAAACGACATTTTTTATCCCTGTAAGAGGAGGTTCAAAATGCAGGAACAACCCTTAAAATCATAGCTATAATTCTTTAAGCTTGCGTCAGGTGTTTCCAAACTGACAAATCAGGAAATGTATATAGATATAGGAAGATGTGGTATGAGTGCCAATGAGACAACTCTCCATCCAAGTTACAATTTATAAAAGTAAACCATTATAGGTCAAGGTGTTCCTTTCTTAATATCAATGCATGATTATAAACCAGTTAAAATATCAAGAAAAAAATCATTAAGTAGTTTACCGTTGTCCGTTAACCATGATTGTTCATATGAACTGAATTTCAACTTTTAATATAAAAATTAAGGAAATGTGGTCTGATTGCCAATGAGACCACTATCCACCATGCAATACTAAATGACGAGGATATTAGCAACTTAAGTCAAGTTGTCGAAAAACAAAAAAAGTGTGATTTTTTTCATATTTATTGCATTTGGTTTTTAAGTAATTTCATCCATCAAAATGTTTTAAATGATTCATATTTATTCAATCATGCCAGGAAAACAATGGCATGTTAGTTTTTATAAAATATAACACAAAAAAGTTTCCTGTTTATTTGTATTTCATTACTGATCATTAAAAGAACAAAAGGACAAAAACAAAAATAGAACAATAACTGTCCTCTATATAGATTTTGATGTATTGTTTATTGTGGATTAGTTGCTTTTTATATTCACTGGACATTTTGTTTAAACCACAATCATGTGACTTAAACCAAAGGTCACAAAGAATTATATCATTATTTCCCCAAATTGATTAAGTTCGTCTTCTTTGTATACAAACTCGGGTATTTAAAAAAATGTAAAGTAAATAAATATATTTCAAAGATCTTACATTAAAGTTATATAACATTTTCTACTTTATCATTGATTGTTGATAACTGGTGGTATCAAGATGCAAACAGTATATACGTAGGATTAGTCACCATTGATCTGAAATTGTGAATTGTCCAGCAAAATGAGACAGATAACTTAGACCGTCCCATCTCCTAACTTATTGTGTAGTGAAAGAAATAAACCTTACAACTATCATAAATATATATATAACTCTCCGGACAAAAGATCTGAGTCTCAATTTTAAGAGTGAATATAACGAACAAGCGTAGATAATTCCAGAACAAGGATACTAATTACAAGGCGACTGAAACCCGATCCACTTTTTCTTATAAATGTACATTTACCTGTTTTAATTCTTTAAACATACACGAAGCAGGTTCTGAATCAACTTCTCATATTGTTTTCAAAATCGGGAGTATTTTAACTTTAAATTGAATACAAAATGTACAAAATGTCAAGTTGTAGTTGCTCGGTTGGGACATGTTGCACACACTGTCTAGACAGTCGTTCGATTGTTTCTTATAATTTATTTTTATTTAAGGTCATGTCTGCTCTTATGTGTTTTACGTCAAGTAGTAATTTTCAAAACCCATCAGTCGTCAGCCAAAAAGATATAAATACACAATAAAAAACACGCATTTGCCATACAGTTTGACGCCATTTTGTTTTTACGTAAAAAATCATTCTTGTTCAACGATTTTATATATATTTTTGTAGCAATTTTCACATCAGTTTTGAATATTTGATATTGAACCAAATAATCGTTCATGACATACACATGACTTACAAATGTCCCCGTAAACATCGTTTCTTATTAACTTTCAAAATATTTCCTGAAATTTTATTTATGATTGATGACATTAACAAAATCAATTCCCTAACTACATGTTCATCGATATTGAACTGTAAATTGTAATAAATTAGAATAAAGAAAGGCGAAAGATACCAAAAAGATAGCCAAACTCATTATTCGTAAACAAAATGACAATGCCATGGCACAAAATGAAAACTGGTCAAAAGACAAACAGTATACAAAACAAAACATGGAAATTAAAGACTGAGCAACACGAACCTACCAAAAACCGGGGATGATCTCATGTGCTCCGGAAGGGTACGCAGATCATGCTCCACATGTGTCACCCGTCGTGGTGCTCATGTAAGTACAAACACTTTGATAAGTCTAACTCGGTAGGTCACATTCGAGGAAAAGAGGACGGGATTATGGTTACGACAATTGGAACATATCCGTCGTCTTCTGAGAAACAGATATTCAATAACGCTAAACCAACTCGTTATGGCGTCCGTAAAATGCTTGAAGGTATGATTTCAACTTCCCCACTTTGAACTCTTGGTTTAATAACTTCCTTTGTAAGCAGTAACCCTCCATCAAGGAAATGATGTTAAGAAATGCAAGCTCTGGAATATCGTCTCAACTGGGAGATGCAGGCGAAAGATGCCATCTTTTTTTTCAAAATCCCAGTGTTTTAAAAATGTGAATACGAAAACAATTTTTCTAATTGGAATTAAGCCCAGTTAAAAAACATAGTCACATTAAATCATGTAATAAAATAAACAGTATTATACTTTCAGACACTGTTTTATCCGGAGATTCCTATTTATAAGTCCGGTTCGTTTGCTTAGGATCCTATATTAGTCGAGTGATAATTGCAGTACATACATGAACAATTATGTGTTAAAATTCTCCGTTTTCTGATTAAAGATTTAAGTACGCTATCTATCTTATACTTGTTAATTTACGCGTTAATTCCTATATAAATCTCCTCATTAGTATTGGTTCCGTTCATGTTCATATATAGACGGCATCGTCGTTGATTAAAAAAAAAAGACTGAACAAAATAGGCGAAGATACCAAAGTGATATTCAAAACTCATAAGTGCATGAAAAACTCATAAGTGCATGAAAAACAACAACGCCATAGGAAAAAATTAAAAACCCCGCTGCCACAAACTTGATAGTGATGCAGCTGAAAGGGTTTATTAGGCGAGTCGTTTCACGAATTGCACCTAATGTGGCTCTAAATTAATATCATATATGATGAACTTGAGTATAACATATCTTAAGGTTGGATTGACATTTCATTTTCACTTTTGGTCATTTCACAAGAGTTTGATATTTTATTCGATTAAGTTTTGCTTTATAGTTCATAATATTTAAAGACATATACATTGCAAAACATAGCCTAATATGCTCCTTTATTTACTTTAAAAGAATATATTGAATATCTCATTGGTATCTTTCGCCTATCTTTTTCAAGAATATTAAATACTTTTTAACAGTTTCTTTTATAAAGTTTGCTTTATTTTTTATTTGCCCGATACCTTTGATGGATTAATCAATCGCCTATACGATATTTCTCAATACATATGAATGCATGTAGCATTTTATCATTTAAACTCACCTAAAAGTATAAATCCATATAAAAATCGTATACAATTCACCATCTTATTATCCACACCACTGTATAACTGTGGTATGACTAAAACATATCTTTGTATAAATCTACAATATATTTGACAGAAACGACAAATAAAGATTTTTTTGAAATATATATTATTTTATGACATATGTCAGTAATAAAAGACCTCTGAAATCCGGCCTGAATGTGACAACCTTCTCATTAAGAAGAATCGTAAAAAACAATGCAAACTGGGGTACATCAAGGTTATCAGTTGTGGTTTCTTTTGTTTTATTAACTATATATGTGGTATTAGTGTTATGAAACGTTCATTTGATGTGCATTAATAAATAAAAATGACAGTTATAGAATTCTTATATGTTCAACAATTAATATGTTTAAATTGTTGGCGACTGAAATCAGAACATACTCATCCCTATAGTGAACGACAGTATGAGCAATACACATCAGTGGACATCTTTTATCCTTCCTATATAGCAAACTATGTCTAGTTTATTCTAACACTATTTGTACAAGATCTGAATTAAATGTTTTAATCAGGTTAACCTACATTATTTTATAAAGCTGCAAGTTTCAGCTACAAATATGCCATATATCATTCGCCATTTTTCTTGATAAAAAGTGCAATTCTATTGAAATGTGTACTTTACTTCGAGATTTCTTTAAAAAAAAAAGGGGGGGTTCAAATTAAATATATAAAAACGCTGAATAACAATTACATGTATAGAACAAATGGATAATGACTGTCTTTTTTCTTGCTAAACACAGACGTTTTCCTTGCATTACATGTATAATGGTTATGTCTGATTAGTATACATGTTAGAAAACAAACTAGCTGGAATTGCGTTTTATATGTATTGAATTAAAGTCAGATGATTTGAAAATATTTAAATCACCTCTGAAATATGACTATTTTTCCAAAAATAAAAATAACAAAGACATTTTAACAGAACATAAGAAGGCATTTACGCGATGTATAAAAATTGTTTTAAACAGTTTTTAAAAATTCATGGAAACTGATTCTATAGGTTTGAATAGATATACATGTACCAACATATTTTTAAAATGATGACTGGGTGTCTAAATACCCTTCATGAATATTCAAAGGAGTCTTCAACAGATGACTTTTAGGAAATTGAGTAAAATTTGTTCTAGTTTTAAATTATGATTAAATTAATAATACGAACAGCTATTTTATTATTTTCATAAATAAATGTACCTCTACAAAGGTCATCTGAGGTCATTGGTCACATTAATGCATATGGCCACACTTTTGCAGTAATGCAAAAACAATTGTTTGTATATTGCCAACGGCAAAATAAGTAAAGAGAAAGTTATTTGTAAAGAATGGTTGATTATTAGACTCGTTTTATGTTTAGTGCGACTAGTAGAAAACCAAAATATCAGCAAACATGACCACTGGACTGATGCATGTAATTAATAATTGATATAGTAGATATTCTAAATAGTTTTATTAAATGCAGGTAACACTTCACTTACAATAAAATTATCTTGTTTAGTAAACTAATACCTATTTTCATTTGATTACCGTATACATGTAGAAAATATGTATAACTATAATTCATCCATTCATGGAAATTATCTTCCCCTAAGATCGTTTCACTAGTAAAAACACATAGAATTAACTTAGATATAAAAAAATAAATATCAGAAAAAAAACCACTAAGTTATTCAAAGGTAATTAAAATATTATACCCTAGAAAAGTCTATACTTTTTATTTATTAATTTTCAAGTAAGGCATTTTGTTACCATCAATTACTTTATAACTATATTGCATTCTTTAATAGATTTTGTCTGAAAGTTTTGCTGTACCAGTAGAAACAATTATGGGCCTACGTCATGTTGATACTTATATGTCGGCATTGCTTTTTCCGACTTCTAACGACATCTTTGCACTATATTCGTCAAAAGTGTTCTCATAGACATTTTAATCTGGAAGAACACGGTTTATCTATTAGTTGAAATTAGGCTTTGAATAAGCTGTCAGTAACTACGAGAACTCTTAAATCGGTACTTTATGTCCTATGACTTTTGTTATTTGTTTTGTGCTTAGTACTGATCTGACGAGTCAAGCCCTTTCTATCATTTTTACATTTTGTTCTTATGCTGTGTTGTTACACAACAGTCCAAGGTTAAGGGAAGGGGTTGGCCCTTATAGAAATGTTTAAGCCACATTATAGATTTCCATTTTCCAAGCCAGGAGCCTGTAATCCAGTGGTTGTCGTTGATTTCTGTTCAGCATAGCTTATCGTATTTTTACAGATACCCTTTGTGTTCTCTTTTAAATTGTTTCGCATTTTGTCACCCAAGGGCCTTTAGAAGCTACAGTATGGGTTTTGCCCATTGTTGAAGGCAGTAAAGTGATTTGGTTATCATATCACAGCTCCTTATTTTGATATCAATTTGAAATCTGTAATCCTGGGGCTCTTTTCACAAAAAATCTTACGACTAAAATTGATCGTAAGTTATACTCCAATGTTCATGACTTAAGAGTGTTTTTACTCGTAAGATATTTTGTGAAAAGAGTCGCTGAGTTTTAACAAGAATAAACTGTTTTCCTGTGCTCATGCATCTTATACCCCGTCGTCCTCCTTTCCGTAAACCACGCATATATTTACACACTTACACAACAATCGTTATTGAATTGAACTCTCACACCTCATTAGTAATACATAATATTAACAAGTTGTATTCTTTTTCAATCTTTGAGAATTAAAGGCAAAACCAATACTCGAAATCTAGAGCTAACGCGATGGAATGCCATTTGAGGGGAGTAACGACTTACCCTGATTAAGTATGTTATAGTGATGTTTGTTTTGCTTTCTTTCTGATATTTCACTTTTTAATGTCTTTGTTATTTTTTTAGAACTTGGTCTTCTCCTTAAGAAACGTCTTATGGTTAGAAAATTGTGTTCATACAGAACGCAAATCTTTTACATTTTGAATTGTAAGACAATGAATTTGGGTATTACCCATCATTTGACCATGGAAAGCACCTCCGTTAAAGACCGTTTAAACCTAATTTTTCAATATTGTTACAAGACAAGATTTCCTCTGTCATTTTCTATTACCCAGGGTTTCTAGAGGGAAATGATGAAGATATCTCTGCATGGTTATTTGTAACGATTTTTATTTTTCATTTGTTTCTCATTATATATAGAACAAAGAGACGTTGTTCTTTTTTTTTCGTCATCACCACTTTTAAATTACTTTGTAAAATAACTATATGATACAATTATGTTATGTCAAGTGCTGTCATTGTTGCAACCACCATCCCATGTCAACAGAAAGACAATAGTAGTGTATCGATGTTCTATACTCACAAACCGCCTTGGTTGTATGTTGTTTGCCTGATTGCCTCGAGTGCGGGAGATCGTGGGTTCGATCCCCAATCGGCTCGAAATGATATGAAAATTGATAGTTGCTGGTTCCCAACTAAGCCAATTGCATTACGAAGAAAATAGAGTGTATTTAGAGGCAATCTTTTACTATGAAAAATGGTAGTACGAATCGTAGAAAGACGTTGAGTGAAACATGTGACCGTGTCTGCTATGTTTTGTTCGTCATAAGGATTTTAGTGACGTTTTGGTATCCAATATTTCCAAGGTATTTTGTTATAAATATACCAAAGGAGAGAAGGACGAATTTCTAAAATCTCATCTTCAACGAATTATGCCACTGTAGGTTTGGGATTCCTAGATTTGCTGTGAATTCCAAGTTGTTTTGTTAGTCAATCCAAAACTATCAAACAATATTGGTGTCTGGTAGAACAATAACATGTTTGTCATGAAAACAGGATAAAGCTTTTATAACCGCAACATTCCAGCAGCGCCTGCATGGGGAGTATATATCTCCCGTTGATACGATATTCTAGTTTGCATTTCCAACCATGATTTCCTTGATACAAGGAAGCTACTGAAACAAGTGATCCAAGTGGTGAAGCTAAAAATTATCTCTTCGAAAATTTAACGGACGCCATCAAGAGTTGGTTGGTCGTTATGGAATATCTGTGTCACAGATGAGGACAAATTTGTTCCAATTCTCGTAACCACAATCCTTTCCTCATCTCCTCGAATGTGACCTTCTGAAGTAGACTTATCACCGGCTTTGTACTTACATAAGCAACACGACGAGTGCAACATGTAGAGCAGGATCTGCTTACTCTTCTAGACAACCTGAGATCACGCCCGGTTTTTGTAAGGGTTTGTGTTGTTTTGTTTTTTATGTTGTGATTGGTATACTGACATTCGTCTTTTAATGTTTTTTTGTTTCTTGCCATGTCATTGTCAGTTTGTTTTCAACTAATGATCTTGAATATCCCTTTGGTATTTTTCGCCTCCCTTTTTTATTAATTTTAGATGAAGTGTACATTTTAGTTCGTCTCGCTAACGTTTAATCCAGTTTTCTTTAATCTATGGACACAGATGAAATTAATTACAATCCGAACAAATAGATTTAGGATCCTAACTCCTTCCATTCCTAAATACAGTCACACCTGCCAAAACGACCATCTGTATTGAGCGACCATTTGCTGAATACGACCAAATTTCAATCATTCAATTGATGTATAATTTAAAAATACTCAGGTATTTCACATCCAATCTTTTATGATAATATTCTTTACAAAGCACAAAAACGTCGGCATTCACCTCAAAAGCTAACCAAACCTTTAAACAGACTTATTAAGAAGGGATATAGTTACGATACTGTTGTCAGGTCATTAAAGATGGCACATTTTGGTTTTAATATTGATTCACTTATAGAGTCTTTGCATCGGAAATAAACACATTTATTCTAAAACCAGTTGTTGGCATGATACGGGTTATGTTCTTCTCATAAATTTTATGATGGTATGATGCTAAACCCCTAACAGGAGGGATTGTGCTTGATTTTCATATGATGAAGTCATATTCTTTCAATCAGTTTAATTGAGGTCTGGAGCTGGTATGTCAGTAACTGCTAGTAGTCCTTTGTTAATTTATGTATCATTGTCATTTTGCTTGGTTTCTTTTGTTACCTATTCTGACATCGGA